GAACTGTATATGACTCTTCTCCAGTCACATTTGTCTTTTTACAGTCAGCTTAAGTTAGGTAGAAGGAATAATGACATTAGACGTTGAATCAGAAAAAAAACATAAGTGTGTCAAAATAGCTGTGAACCACTCACCTCTTACTATGGCCTGTGTACGTGCACAGTCGACGTTTTCTTCGAATAGTACTGTTGAACGAAGTAGGATTTGATGGGAAAAGAGCCAGAGGTGATCGAAACAAAAGATTTTCCCTTGTCTTTATTAATCTGAAAAACACAAAAAAGTATCGATTACTTTATCAGTCTCTTAATGAGACTCTTAAAGTGGCGCAAATCGCTGACAGTGATATAGGTTCTTTCATTCCCTGTTTGCAGAAATTCTGAGAATTCTCACTATTCTTTATCAAATTATTCGATAAACTGCACATCTTTATCTATTATACCACATTTGAGTTCATTACAACTTAGAGTAAGTCATGTCTATGGATAATCTATTCGTTTGTCTATGTGTTTTAATCATTTTCATATCTACAGTGTAGAGCGTTAGTGCTTAAATATAATAAGTACATTGGAATTAAGCAAGATAACTTGTGGTTATTTTCTTACCCACAGAAATGCAACTGCACTTAATCTTAATAATGAATGAGGTAAAAGGTTTAGAGAGGATGTATATGTATAGTGTAATGGTAGATTTTGATTCGTTTGAGACAAATGATTTTAGATATGATAGAGCAGATTTGTAGCTCAGGTGGATGATTTTGATGTGATTGGGTTCTCTGAGCAGTTGTATCAACTGCGAAAAACACTACACTGGCCAAGGTGGACGTCCCCTTCGCCTTCGTATGCACGAACATAAGCTAGCCATCAAAAGACATGACATACACTCCCTCATATCACTACATATAGACAACCATGGACATCAATTCGACTGGGACAACCAACGTTCGAATATTAGACACAGGAAACACCAAGAATGCTGGAGAATTTTTAGAAGCCTGGTATTTCAGTGAATTGTCAATCAATAGACACATCGAGATAGACAAAATTTATCAACCGATAAGAAAGAAACCTCACACACAAAGTTCAAGTCAAGGGAACAATCAGTACGAATACAAGTAGACTAGAGGGTGTGAAAACACACAAAAACAACCAATCACGTCCAAGGTCACCAGGAGAGATGATTAATAAACTTGTGAAGAAATCTAAAAGCTCACTTCAAATTGAAGTATGCGCTGAAGATGTCGCTTAGTAGGGCGATGAAAGCTTCGCAAATTAACTATCCAGCTCAGAGAACACAACCGCATCAAAAACAAATGATTTTTAACAGAAATGCCCAGAAAGGTATTTATTAATAGAATGTCATAGTTACACCAGCCGATGGACAGTTTTCTGTATCTGGAACTTACAGACGGACCGATTAACGTAAAAAGGCATCAGTTCACTTGAGAGCGACATCGGAAAGACAGGACAAACCTTTACTACTCTGAAGTCAGTCTTGAAATCTACTGCACTAAGCATAAAGAACAAGATTCCGTTTTTCAACAGTAATATCAAGTCAGTGATTCTATATAGTTCACAGTTTTAATGTGTCATGTAAACCATTTCGAACAGGTGACTACGGATGTTAATCAACAGTTGCTTTTCCCGCATGATGAAGATCAGACATCTGGAAAGGATAAGTAACTAGGAATTCTGGAAACGAATCAATCAACCCCCTACCACCCAACAAATATTCCAAAGTGGCTGCAACAACAAATGAAATCGCCAGACACAACTGAACCCGGAAATAGATGTCCAACATCATCTATAGCGAAGCATATTATAGAGACGGGTCATAAGGTTGATTTCAACAATGCCTTTAAGCCGATATATAAAACAAGGTTGGGTCACATACTTAAATTCATTGAAGCCTTAGCCATAAAAAGGCTTAAACCTGTCTTATGTGTCCAAAAGTTATCTGTCATCACCTTAAACCTGCCTTGGTAATCCAATTTAGAACCAAGGACCAATTTACTTCATAATATTTTCAACCCCTTCTTTGCCTTGCTTTTTTTCTCCTTTTATCTTTCTTACCCACACCTTTTGCGTCTCCCTACCCATTATTTGTGACCTTGACCTGTATACAATCTGGCCTGTATTGTAATTATTCATGCCTTCTTGCATTCTATAAAAACTGTGTATGACAAGTACGTGTGTGTGTGATCAGAATGTCCGAAATGTGTTGCGCCAATACATTACACGTTTCAGATAAACTACGTCTTCTTATTGTGTTGTCGAAATTCATAAAGGGAACTAATTGCTTTAAATATTCAGAAGAAAAAGGAGATGGATGGATTGGACATACACACTAAGGAGTACATCAAATGACATCGCGCTCCAGGCCAACTCCCGAGTGGAACCCGAATAGTAAACATAGAGTTGAGCACAGGTGCTAGGGTGACATAAAGGTGACCGTGTGGCGAAGAGATGAGAGCTTATGGATAATCGTAAAGTTCACTTAAGAAGACTGAGAAGAAATAGGATAAAATGGAGATGTGCTTTTGAAGTCCTGTGTTCCACTAGGAACCTAAGGTAATAATGTATACATACAGGCTAACGAAATGATCTGACATATCTATTTCTGTAAACAGGGACCCCATTTAAGGTGTATTGTTACATTAAAATGTATTTACAAGCTGACAATACTACGCTGGTTCAAAAATGTAGGCACAAGACTCAAGGACCAATACAAGTGATGACAGTAAAAATTATTCTTCAATGAAATTTATAACATTATTTAACCTAGATAGCCATATGTATGTTACACTGATTGCAAAATGCATTATTAAGCGACCGACTGTAGTACATTTATAGCTCAGGTGGATGATATTGATGTAGTTGTACGTTCTTTTAGCTGAACAGCTTAATTGAGCAGCTTTCATTATCACTTCTAGACAACATCTTCAGCTGAAATCCAGAAAGACATTCAATAATGCTTTGCATTTAAGCCATTCAGTCTAGAAGAAACGACTACACCAATAAAAATGTTTATAAGAGTCAAGAGTTAGTTTATAGGGATTCGATTTGGTTCAACTTTGTTCACACATATTCATGTCAGTTAATCAACTACTGAAAACCACAGAGTAATGCACAGCTGTTTCGGTCCGTTCAACAGAACGCATCAACGAGTCTATCGGTGATCGAACCCAGGACCTTCAGGCTATCAGGTCAAACTCGTTGACCATTCATCCACTTGGGTAGGAGTTCAATAGCTCATGAATTCTAAAGTCCAAGTGATATCAATCCGTGATCAAATTTGGAAAAAAATCAAATTCCCACAAACTAACTCCTGAAATTTTAATCTGATGCTCATTAGTGACTGGCTACAGAACAGAGTTGCCTGAATTTACAGTAAGAAATCGTGACTGTTGGGCTCCACCAGATCGCGAGTGGAGATAAATACTTGCTGATGACATTGGCTGGTGCCAGTCGCGATAAAAAATCGCGAGTTGATAGAAGTTAGAATTCATTGGCCATTAAATCCCAGTCTACACGGCTGAATGGTCAACATGAGTTCGACCTCGTCACCTAAACGTCCTCTGTTGTTAGATCCCTAGTGATGTGTTGGGTGTGTATTGCTGAAGAGTCATAAACAAGGAAGGAAGAAACAACTGCCCCCATTATTATTCCCTGGTTTTCAATGATCTTGTCAACTGACATCAATTTGCGATCATACTGAGAAAAAAAATGCTTATAAAATTACTGTACATTCAATACGGGAAGGCGAGAAACACATTCATCAACCTGAAACCAATCTGGAAATCTTCCTCACTCAGCCTGCATCAACAACAAAATTCGGATTTTCAATACAAACGTCAAGTCAGTCAGTTCTTCTATACGGATGGATCAGAAACTTGGCCAGTGTGTCACAAAGAATATTTCCAACAGCCTGTTGCAGACCTTTATCATCAACAACTGTCTTCGCTCTATACACTGAAGATCAGATGGCCGGAAAGAATCACCAACAAGAAACTATGGGAACAAACAAAACAAGAACCAATCGCCCAACAAACAAATATGCAGGAGAAAGTGGAGATGGATTGGACACTCACTCGCTGAGTAGGCCGCTGGGTGACATCGCGCGTCAGGCGAGTGGCACGTCAGTGCAAGGGTGACATGGAGGAGATCGTGTGAAGAGGAGTTGAAACAGTATGGATTAACATGGATGTAGGTGAAAAGTACAGCAGAAGACAGAAGCAGCAAGTGGAGGCGTGCAATTGAAGCCCTATGTTCCACTAGGAACCCAAGGGAACAATAGTAATAAGAATAAATTAGTGTTATGTTCATTTAGGTTTTCGTTTGATAATTAATTAAAATGATTCATCATGTAATTATTTATTGACTGCAACCAGTGAAATTAGCTAAGCAGTTACCTTCTTCAACATAAGTTTAAGACCGATATCCTTATATACTATGTTTTTACGATTTACAATTGACGGAATGAAATCTCAACTGTAGTCCAAAACTAATACATAAGTAAGGTTTTTCCTATAAAGACAAATAAATTAACTTATAAATTTGCACAGAAGTGCATTAGGTCAGGTTATCACATATCGGAAAAGCTAACATAAAAGAGAACGGAGGAGAAACGTACCGTAAGTAAGATGGAGATAGGCAGAAGTAGTAGAAGTAATAGTTTAGTAGAGAGAAGAGAATAGTTCGAGAAATTCCATGATATCGAATAAAGATATCTACATCACTTTGAATGATTTTCACAAAAACACTGGAACATTGATTCTTAGCATCCTGACTACCTCAACCAAACAATCCAAACCTAATTATGTGGCGAAAATCAACGATAAATGAAATCATGGAGTAAAGGGATGTTTGACTGAACTGAATATGACTCTTTTCCAGACACATTTGTCTTTTTACAGTCAGCTTAAGCTGGGTAGAAGGAATAATGACATTAGACGTTGAATCGAAGAAAAAACAAAAAAAACAAAAAAGTTGTGAAACCGTCACCTCTTACTATGGCCTGTGTACGTGCAGAGTTGACGTTTTCTTCGAATAGTACTGTTGAACGAAGTAGGATTTGATGGGAAAAGAGCCAGAGGTGGTCGAAACAAAAGATTTTCCCTTGTCTTTATTAATCTGAAAAACACAAAAGAAAGTATCGATTACTTTATCAGTCTCTTAATGAGACTCTTAAAGTGGCGCAAATCGCTGACAGTGAGTGATATAGGTTCTTTCATTCCCTGTTTGCGGAAATTCTGAGAATCTTCACTATTCTTTATCAAATCATTCGTTAAACTGCATATCTTTATCTAGTATACCACATTTGAGTTCATTACAACTTAGAGTAAGTCATGTCTATGGATAATCTATTCGTTTGTCTATGTGTTTTAATCATTTTCATATCTACAGTGTAGAGCGTTAGTGCTTAAATATAATAAGTACATTGGAATTAAGCAAGATAACTTGTGGTTATTTTCTTACCCACAGAAATGCAACTGCACTTAATCTTAATAATGAATGACGTAAAATGTTTAGAGGGGATGTATATGTATAGTGTAATGGTAGATTTTGATGTGTTTGAGACAAATTTTTTCTAACAGAAATGCCCAAAAAGGGATTTATTAATAGAATGTCATAGTTACACCAGCCGATGGACAGTTTTCTGTATCTGGAACTTACAGGCGGACAGATTAACGTAAAAAGGCATCAGTTCACTTTAGAGCGATATCGGAAAGACAGGACAAACCTTTACTACTCTGAAGTCAGTCTTGAAATCTACTGCACTAAGCATAAAGAACAAGATTCCGTTTTTCAACAGTAATATCAAGTCAGTGATTCTATATAGTTCACAGTCTAAAAATGTGCCATGTAAACCATTTCGAACAGGTGGCTACGGATGTTAATGAACAGTTGCTTTTCCGCATGATGAAAATCAAACATCTGGAAAGGATAAGTAACTAGGAATTCTGGAAACGAATCAGTCAACCCCCTACCACCCAACAAATATTCAGAAGAAAAAGAAGATGGATAGATTGGGCATACGTCAAATGACATCGCGCTCCAGGCCAACTCCCGAGTGGAACCCGAATGGTAAACAACGAGTTGGGCGCAGGTGCTAGGCTGACATCAAGGTGACCGTGTGGCGAAGAGATGAGAGCTTATGGTTAATCGTAAAGTTCATTCAAGAAGACTGAGAAGAAATAGGATAAAATGGAGATGTGCTTTTGAAGTCCTGTGTTCCACTAGGAACCTAAGGTAATAATGTATACATACAGGCTAACGAAATGATCTGACATATCTATTTCTGTAAAGAGGGACCCCATTTAAGGTGTATTGTTACATTAAAATGTATTTACAAGCTGACAATACTACGCTGGTTCAAAAATGTAGGCACAAGCCTCAAGGACCAATACAAGTGATAACAGTAAAAATTATTCTTCAATGTAATTTATAACATTATTTAACCTAGATAGCCATATGTATGTTACACTGATTGCAAAATGCATTATTAAGCAACCGACTGTAGTACATTTATAGCTCAGGTGGATGATATTGATGTAGTTGTACGTTCTTTTAGCTGAACAGCTTAATTGAGCAGCTTTCATTATCACTTCTAGACAACATCTTCAGCTGAAATCCATAAAGACATTCAATAATGCTTTGCAATTAAACCATTCAGTCTAGAAGAAACGACTACATCAATAAAAATGTTTATAATTGTCAAGAGTTACTTTATAGGGATTCGATTTGGTTCAAGTTTGTTCACACATATTCATGTCAGTTAAACAACTACTGAAAACCACAGAGTAATGCACAGCTGTTTCGGTCCGTTGAACAGTACGCACCCGCGAGTCTATCGGTGATCGAACCCAGGACCTTCAGGTTATCAGGTCAAACTCGTTGACCATTCAGCCACTTGGAAGTTAGAATTCATGGGCTATTGGATTCCGGCCCCAAGTGATATCAATCCGTGATCAAATTTGAAACCAATCAAATTCCTACAAAGTAACTCCCAAAAATTTAATCTGATGCTCACTAGTGACTGGCTACAGAACAGAGTTGCCTGAATTTATAAAAAGAAGTCGTGACTGTTGGGCTCCACCAGATCGCAAGTGAAGATAAATACTCGCTGATGACATTGGCTGGTGCCAGTCGCGATAAAATCGCGAGTTGACAGAAGTTAGAATTCATTGGCCACTGAATCCCAGCCTACATGGCTGAATGGTCAACATGAGTTCGACCTCGTCACCTAAAGGTCCTCTGTTGTTAGATCCCTAGTGATGTGTTGGGTGTGTATTGCTGAAGAGTCATAAACAAGGAAGGAAGAAACAACTGCCCCCATTATTATTCCCTGGTTTTCAATGATCTTGTCAACTGACATCAATTTGCGATCATACTGAGAAAAAAATGTTTATAAAATTACTGTACATTCAATACGGGAAGGCGAGAAACACATTCATCAACCTGAAACCAATCTGGAAATCTTCGTCACTCAGCCTGCATCAACAACAAAATTCGGATTTTCAATACAAACGTCAAGTCAGTCAGTTCTTCTATAAGGATCAGATCAGAAACTTGGCGGGTCACAAAGAATGGTATTTCCAACAGGTTGCAGACATTTATCAACAACTGTCTTCGCTCTATACTCAAGATCAGATGGCCGGAAAGAATCACCAACAAGAAACTATGGGAACAAACAAAACAAGAACCAATCGAACCAACAAATATGCAGGAGAAAGTGGAGATGGATTGGACACTCCAAGGGTGACATGGAGGAGATCGTGTGAAGAGGAGTTGAAACAGTATGGATTAACATGGATGCAGGTGAAAAGTACAGCAGAAGACAGAAGCAAGTGGAGACGTGTAGTTGAAGCCCTATGTTCCACTAGGAACCCAAGGGAACAATACTAATGTATAATAACAATATGGGTCCATATCCAATTCATAGAACCTGTTTAAGATATACATATTTATTTCTGATCAACGTTTTAACACTAACTAACAGCCACATTAGTGAATATTATAATTCATTCAATAATCATACAAATAACTTACTGTTGAATAAATCGAACATAAATATCATCAACAAAGTGTTTATCCGTACACAGTGGTGATAGTGTAAAGTTAGTTAGTGAAGGTATACTCTATCAAAGCACATTATTATTAGTCTAAAGTACTTTTATATGTATACTGACTGACTGACTGATTGATTGATTATGACTGAACAACATAACACCATGGTGTGAATGGTCATGTGGTTAATTTTTTTAATTTCATTCCATTGACCAATGACTTACTTCTGTCATATTTATTAATAGTAAGAGTAACACGAATAAATTAACGACGATAATGAAGGTGATTTTATGTAAAAGTCAAAATATTTCACACACACACGCACACACAGACAAACACTTTGAATGACAGACAAATCAATATCATCACTCATTTTGTCAACTAATCTGTCGTCTATAATCATGCCGTTTCTTCATGAAAAAAAAAAATGAACACTACTTAATGTTTTAATAAAATATCTGAAAAAATGTGTATTTTTTGCAAATTTTATAAAAATATTAATAGTAATAATAATAATATGAAATGTTTGGAGGCAGTCGGCCACAGGATGCCTTGCTCGACCAAGGTTTAGTGCTAGTTGGCACTCACCAGTCAGCCAGCAAGGCGTATCTGCAATCATCTTGAAGGAACTCATGTCCTTTCTAAGATTCGAACCCACGTCATCCAGTGAGTGCTGCAGTCAGAGACATTATCACTGAGCTATTCTGGGTGGCTGGCAACGTAAAGAGGAAAGAAGATGGGAAGTTAAACACTTCCGATCGTCCCATCCTATGTCAGTAAAAATAGGATTGTGAAATGTTTAAATGACAGAGCACAAAAATAAGTAGTAACAAAGAAAATCTAAAACAGGAACTGATACACATAAAAGAAGCCTTGAAACTTAATAATTACCCGGATAAATTAGTCAGGAAATATGTAAGGAAATGTAAAAATAAAATAAATAATGATAGTAGCGATAATGATAATAACAATAATAATGATAATAATAGTGATAATAATAATATTAATGACGACACCAATAATAAGGAATCTAAATCATCAGTAGTAATTCCATACAAGGAAGGAACCTCGGAAACCACTTACGCAGAATTCTTAACAATGCAGGAATAAAAGTGGCTGGCATTCAAACCCACAAACTCAATTAGAAACAAGCTTTGTCGGTTAAAGGATCCTGTAGAGCCTTTAAAACAAAACAATTTAGTTTATCTAATACCTCCTGCAATGATTGTCAGGTCAAATAAATAGGTCAAACTAGTAGAACAGGGGCAGTCAGACTAGCTGAACATAAAAACCTAGCAAAATCTAGATTGGTTGACCCGAATAAGATAAGAAATCTGGAGAATAGTTCAGCTATACCACTCACTGCATGCAGTTACACACAACCATACAATAGGATGGGATAGGATGACAGTTTTAAAATTTAATGTCACAGGGTATAGGGAGAGATTGATAACAGAAGCTTTGTTTATCGAATCAACTACAAATACATGTAATAGGAATGATTCATCACATGTCCCCGATATCTGGAAAATTCTACTACCCCACGACAAATAGGAGAAAACAAAGAAAACTATAAAACTCAAGTGTCAAAGTCGTGTGATTACAATTGATATGATTATGAACAATAAATTTTGTTCGAAAGTGTGTCATCCAGTAAATAATACTGTTTCACTGTGTGATATATCTAATAAACAAACTAATATGGAATTACTTACTACCACAGTGCCCAAGTTTTACACATATATTAAAATGGCTGGCGATTGACCTCCAGAAGGGACATGAGTTCCTTCAAGATGATTGCAGATACGCCTTGCTGACTGACTGGTGAGTGCCAACAACAAGCACGAAACCTAGGTTGAGCAAGGCTTCCTGTGGCAGATTGCCTTTACCCATCTTAAATCATCAAATCAATGTTCACCTTGTTGGAGAGCTACCTAGAATGGTGGTGGTCACATTGCAAAGTTGACTGACTGATAGAATTCAGTCTGCACCAAAGAAAGGACTAGATACATCACACCAGTTTTTTTTATTCCTTCACGTTCCCCAGTGGAACATAGGGCTTCAACCTAGTGGCTTGAAGTTTCTGTAGCAGTGTTTATTTTTACAGGATGGGGTTGCTAGCCTCATGCCCAACCTTTCCTCTTCACCAGCTTTTTATTTCTGGCTTAGTGAGGTAAAGGAGTGCATCGGCCGGGGATCGAACCCCGGACCATATGTATGGTCGGCGAGCATCCTAACCGCTATACCACCGACGCACCATCACACTATTTACTAGCGTCCAATCAAAATAATGATAATAATATAATAATGGTTATGATAATAATAATAATAATAATAACGTACTTTCCACCAAGAGATGAAACAACGATTTGGAGAAGATTACAGTCGGACGAATATATCAATCAATGGTCAATTTTAGATGTTCAATGATGATTAAAGCAATTAAAATGAAACTCACTAATAATAACAGTAAAATAATCAGTACAGAAGAAAAAATATTGGCCTACGCTTTGAACAGCAAATTAAATTGAAAGTAGTGGATGGTGGTCCATCCGTCAATTTCAGTCTTGTATTTTACATTATTTTTTTACGGAAACTGCTTTAGCCTACTGTGTTGTTGAATAAATAATAATTGTGAAGGCGGGAGAAATTTGCATCCAATGTCATTTTTGTTGTTATTGTTATTTGCTGATTTTTTTTTTATTACTTGTTTATTCAATGTTGGCACGTGATAAAAGCTTTTCTGAAAACAATCGATATTATGGAAACATTTTTTCAAAATTAATTTCCGATTCCAGTGGCCAGCTAACGTGATTGGCTAGTGAAGAGCATAGCCAATAGGATTTCACCTTATCCTGCCATCACGTGTGTTTTTGATGAATTATATGTCGTACGCATGAGAAGTTTTGTTTTGCGAAAACAATAGGGACGCGTTTTGCTGTACCCCACTGGTCACGACTTCCCAATAGATCCCCAGGTAACTAACTACCTACCAGTCACTAGTGAACATTAGATTGATATTCAAATGTTGGTTTCCAGGGGATTTGATTGGTTTCAGGATTTCATCATGAACTGACATCGGTTAGAGGACCACTGGAAAACCTGGGAGTACTGGACAGGGTTCTAGTGGGAAGTCGTGATCATGGGGTACAGCAGGTCGCGTGTGAAGACAAATACTCGCTGATAACAGACGCGATTGTCGTGCTATTTAGTAAACCTAGTCAATAATCTCAACACTACTTTTAACAGATAAATTCATAATACTTAAGTTGTGATGTGAAAATTATTATTATTATTGTTTCCTTTAATTCCTAGAGGAACATAGGGCTTCAGCCGCGCGTCTCCATTGCGTTCGGTTCTCTGCTAGAGTCTTCACCTGGCTCCAAGTCTGCCCACACGCTTTCATCTCCTCTTCACATGACCTCCTCCAAGTCACCCTCGCACTGACGACCAACTCGCCGCTTCCCATTCTGTCGGGTTCCACTCGAGCGATGGCTTGTCTAGTGATGTCACTTGATGGCTTGTTTCCTCAGAGTATGGCCAGCCAATCCATCTCCATTTCTTCCTGCCTATTTGTTTCACAATCGGTTCCTGCTGTGTTGGTTCGCTCATTGCCAGAGATCTCTGTTGCTGATCTTTTCTGGCCATCTGATCTTGAGTATTGAGCGAAGACAACTGTTAATGAAGGTTTGTAGTTTGTTTGAGATGCTCTTTATGACTCGGTGCCAAGTCTCTGATCCGTATAGTAGCACTGACTGACTTCACATTGGAGTTGAAAATCCGGATCTTATTTTTGATGCTGAGTGCTGTTGACCTCCACACAGACTTGAGAGTAGTGAAAGCTTGTCTTGCTTTTCCGATTCTTGCTTTGATATCCTCGTCAGTTCCGTCTGCCTGTAGTTGAAACGATGCTTCCAAGTTAGGTAGGCAAAAGAGGTTGTTTCTTTCAGGTTCCTCCCATTTATGCTGATCGTTGTCTGTTGTTGTTGTTGGTGTTTCCCAGGAATCTTCATCACCTCTGTTTTCTCTATGTTCACCTGAAGTCCTATTTTTGATGCTTCTTCTGCCAACTTGTTGCTTTTCGCTTGCATATCTTCCAGTTTGTGGGAAATCAGACATATATCATCATGGCGAAGTCCAGATCCTTCAAGTTTTTTGTGTGAGTCCATTTTATGCCTGTTTCCTCATTGCCCGCTGTTTGTCGCATTATCCAATCTACTGCAATCAGGAAAATCATTGGCGATAGTAGGCAGCCAGCTTGTCTTACTTCTGTCCTCACTTCGAAGGATTCCGTAAGTTTCCCGTTGTGGATTACTTGGCATGCAGCATTGTCGTACAGCTGTTGGATGAGATGTATAATTGTCGGTGGCACCCCGTAGTAGCGAAGTAGTTGCCAAAGCACTGATCATGAAATAAGTGTTTCTTCTTTTTTGCCATCCTCCCTCCTCAAAAAGGTCATTCTTCAAAATCGTGGTCACTACAGTATTATGATTCCCTTGAGTTCCGGGTGGAACATAAGGCGTCGATAGCACATCTCCGTTTCATCGTGTTTTCTGCAGTCGCCTTTAGCTGACTCCACGATTTTCCATAAGCTCTCATCTCCACATCACATGATCCCCTCCAATGTTGAACTCGCCGTTTCCCATTCGAGTTCCACTCAGGAGCTGGCCTGGCTAGTGATGTCAGTCAACAGTCTCCTCAGTGTGTGTCAAATCCATCGCCATTTCCTTCGGAATATTTGTTAGTTGGTTTCTTTTGCCAGAGTTCCTTGTAGCTAGTCCTTTTTGTCCATATGATCTTTAGTATGGACCCAGTGAAGGCAGTTGTTGATGAAAGTCTGAAAGCTGTTAGAAATGATTTTTGGTGATGCTCGCTCGTCAAGTCTCTAAACCACGTAGAAGCACTGACTGCCTTGACATTACTGTTGCAAAATCCGAATCTTTTCCCTTATATATATTGAGTGGGTGAGGTGGATTTCCATATTGATTTCACGGCATTAACTGTCTTTCTTGCTTTTCCGCTCCTGTCTTTGACATCTTCTTCTGTGCTGCCTATAACTGGAACAGTACTGCTAAGGTAACTGAAAGAGAAGACTTCTTTCGCATTTCTCCTAGTTGACAGTGATTGGTACTTCTTGGTGTTATCGTCGTTGGTTGAGTATCAACATCACCTCTATCCTCCCTCTCTTTGATTAAAGTCGCGTCTTTGCTGCTTCTTATGCCAACCTGTTGGTTTTAGCCTTCAGATCTTTGAGCTTGTGTGAAATTGGTGCGAAATCAACCGTAAAGTTCAAATCTTCTAGAGTTTTCTATCAATCCAACTTATTTCTGTCTTATCACTACCCACAGTCTGCCACAGGATCTAGTCCACCACAGTAAGGAATATCATCGGTGAGAGTAGACAGCTTTACCTTACTCCTGTAAACACCTCATAGGCTTCGCTGGGCTTCCATTTGTTAATCACTTGACATTCGAGGTTACAGTACTGTCACATATATCAGTTACATCGAATAGGCATGAACAGTTTCGCGGTGCTATAAGTGGTAAAATCTAGAGAAAAAGTACTGAGATGCGGAGAAAGGAGAGGTTTTAACAGCCTAAAAAATAACACTATACACTCTAATCACTTTAGCCTGAAATTCATAGCATCAACTGATAATTAAAATGTATCATATTCGTTCTCTGGGTTTCTGACCAACTATCTACGCATATTCATCACAAATACAAAGCGAGGTAATTGGATTTCCCTGGGCATGATGGTAACACATTTGGCATAGGTAGCACAGGAATTGATATCTTCGAAATAACTGACAACGTAAGCTCCTCTGGCTTCTTGGGCAGCGGATACCGCCGTACTCTGAATCGCAGGTAAGTTTTGAAGTCTCCGGTGATTTCGCGAATAGGATGTTGGAACACCGATTCGTCGATCGGTGCTTTTCTAGTAACGACACATTTAACGATGAGCAACTGTTTTGCTACCTTGTTAAACCACGAAAGAAGGGTGACTTACGCATCACTCTGCAACAACTGGTGTGGAATCATACTCTTTTCCACAACAAATAAAGCACTAAGCCATGTCATCCTGGAGAGAATGAAATATGCACTGGATACAGAACTCCAACAGCCCCACTTGAAGAAGCTGGATTCAGAAAAGACAATTCATGTGCTGATCAAATTGCAACTCTACGCATCATCATCACACAACAAAGCATAGAATGACAATAAAACTCTATCTACCGCAATTTCATCGACTCCGAAATGGCTTTCGACAGACAGTGGTGATCGAGAAGTAATTTGGAAAATGCTTCAACACTACGGCGTGCAGTGCCCAATTCTTCATCAACCCCATTCATCAGCTGGTTATATGACAATGCCGCATGCCAGGTGATAAACAACGGAGAACTCAGCTAAGCGGACGAAGTGAACACAGGAGTTAGACAAGCAGGTTGCCTATTATCACCGATGATACATTTAACTGTGGTGGAGTGAATTATGCGTGAAGAGTGAGAGGACAGAAATACGCTGGACCACTGATTAGAAGACTGTTGTCACTCATTCAGCATAAACAGCAAGATTCGGATTCTGTTCAACACAAATGTGAAGTTAGTCACTTCTTCTATACGGGCCAGAAACTTGCACTGCTTGTCACGTAAAGCATTTCCAACAAATTAAAGACTTTTGTCAACAACCGCCTCCTTCTCTGGCTGGCTCCATACTGAAGATGAAATAGCTAACCGGCCAGAAAGAGTTGGCAACAGGAAACTCTGTCTGGGAACCAACCAGCAGAGAGCCGATTGCTCAATAAATATGTAAGAGAAAATGGAGATGGATCGGGCATACATTGAGGAGACCATCGAATGATATCGTACTCAATGCATGCTATCTCTCGAGTGGAATCCCAATAGGAAGCAACGAGTGGGTCGTCAGTGCGAGGGTGACATGGATGAGATTGTGTGCGGAGGAGGAGATAAGATATTATGGTCAGTTGTGGACCCAGCTGAAGAGGACAACAGAGAATAGAAGAAACTGGAGATGTGTTGGTGAAGCCCTATGTTCCACTCGGAACCCAAGGGAATAATAATAATAACTATTCTTCTGGCATGAACCTGTGTGGTATCTTATGTCAGCTTTAACTGTTGCACCTTTACGGGCAACGTAGGTAGCAAGCTGTTTTCTCGTGACCTTGCCAACAGTAGATTTTCGAACGGTGTGCTCTAAACAAGCCGTAGGAAAACACCGATAGACTATGCAAAAAATTATTCTAAAGCTATAAACATCCTTTTTTTGCTAACAAAATCACGACTAGTACATGTTTATCGTAGTAAATATACAGAGAAATCTTATGTAAAGTGTCAAAGCCATTATCTGTTAATTGAGTTCCCCATTTTATTTAATTTTGCGATCAACACTAATAGAATCTCTAGATATCTTGTTGTTTTGAAAAAAATACCTCCCAAAGATTATATAATGACAGATTATTTCTCATGCTAGAGATATTCAACGGTATCAGTATGGGACTATGTAGTATAATTAAGTGGTGTTTTAGAAGGATTACAACAGTTAGAACATGATTCTGTCCATTTAGGTGTAAAACTTTCACTGTAATAGCACATGATGGATTCACTTGGCTGAAAGAGATCACAATGATCTAATGTTGTTTACCTAAAAATAATAAGTACAATGAAACTTAAAAGGAACAAAACATCTCTACCAAGTGTTCATTGACGTTCACTGGCGGTGTATCATTTATTCGCCAGTGTGAAATATCCACTAAGTCAAATTCAGACTTTCTGTGGAATATATTATTTAATCACTAGAAATGAAACCTGTTAGTTGAATAATTTCGTTACTTTATTACTATGTGAATACTCCTACGTGTATTAGAGCCTACTGTAACTTTTCCTAGGAGGTTTTAAGTAGTGTGGCATTACTAACTAAAATGTCTTCTAGATGTCATTACTGAAGAAACTTCAATTATATCCTTGCTAGGAACTTTTTTCAGGATTTCATATTGAGCTGACATTGGTTAGAGAACCATTGGAAAACCTGGGAGTACTGGACAGCTGTTTCGTCCTAGTTTGAGACTCTTCAGTAGTACGCACTCACCGGAGCTCGAACCCAGGACCTTCTGGTTACAAGGCAAGCTAGCTTGTATACCATTAAGCCATTGGATCGGGTCCCAGTGGCTTAATGGTATACGAGCTCGCCTTGTAACCAGAAGGTCCTGGGTTCGAGCCCCGGTGAGTGCGTACTACTGAAGAGTCTCAAACTAGGACGAAACAGCTGTCCAGTACTCCCAGGTTTTCCAATGGTTCTCTAACTGATGTCAGCTCATGATGAAATCCTGTAAACACTTAATTTTTTTTCATTCGCAAGTATAGTAAACCTGAGAGATCAGGATTCTTAAATATGCTCCAGAATCAGTATAATTCTTATTCTCAGCTGAAAGTCTGAATCAAAGTGGCTGAACATACCGTGGAAGTAATTGACTATTGTTGCCTTTTGGAGAGCTAATTGTACGCGATGGAATTGTAATGTAAAGAGTGAAAAAGTTAAGCGTAATTGGTAACTAAGACAATGAAGTCAATACATCATATGGATTGAGCTAACTAAGACAGATGTTACACATTCTGCTTGGATGCGATGTCTAAGGTATATTGAAATAATTCTAGGGGGGGGGGAAGATGTTGTAACTACACATGATGTCATTAAGTGACGTAAAAAAGTACAGTGCAAGTTCAAAAAGGCAGAAGGGGTATAACATATTGAAAATAAGAATTGCAATCGATTATGATTCACTTATATCACCATAACAATAATAATCTAGCAAAGGACAGTCACCAATTGTCGTTAACACTAACTGTGTCTGTGGCAGCAGTTGCATTAGTTATGCAGAAAGGAGACTGTCTACTCGCATTGCCGAGCATATATCCAAATGGCTTAGAAAAATTGAAGCTTGGATGCTAAAGAGTTAGACCAGGAAAATGATCCTGGCGTCGTGAAGTCATTAACTCTCGTCAGTGGACAAATGTACAGAAAGACGGTTGAAATTGCAAAGGTTAGTTAATTTCAAGATTTCAAAATAGGTCTCCTTGTATAGAAGGAAGTGATCGCTTTCAATCTTCCATGGTGGCATATTTCAATTTGTCAGTTGTTATTCTTACTACTTTATTGCATTTAATATGATGACCTTGGTTGAAATCATCTTTCGTCAATATTACTATCAAAGCTTTTTACCTATTTCTTAGCTCAACTCATTATCACTTTAATTAGTGATTTTATCACTCCCGATATTACCAATTTCTCTTTCGCGCTAAATTCACGAATTGGTAGAAGTTAGAATTCTTGGGCTGGCCATTGAATTGGGTCCCAGGAGCTGAATGGTATACGAGCTTGCCTTGTAACTGGAAGGTCTTGGTTTCGAACCCCCGTGGTGGGTGCGTACTTCCAATGAGTCCCAAAATAGGCTGACGAAACAGCTGTCCAGTACTCCCTGCTGGTTTTCAAAGGTTCTCTAACTGATATCATCCCATACAACCGGTTCCCTTTATTAGTTTGAAGAGAGAAAGAACGAACATGTTTGCAGGATGATACGAGCTCGTTTTATTTCGTGATCTTTGAATCCGTGGTCTAACTCGAAAAACAAACCAAATCTTACAAATCAACTCTTGAAAATTATAACTAGCTGATTAATATAATGATATCATCAATCATCGACGCACGAAATCCAGGTTCTAGATTTTATCGTGAGTACAGCGTATTCCTGTCTTCGCACCCTCGATGCGCAATCCGATGCATAATCCAATCCACCACAATTAAGAATATCATTGGTGATAATAGGCAACCTGTTTTTTCTTACTTCTGTATTCACGTCGAAAGATTCGCTGGATTTTCTGTTGTGGATCACCTGGCACGTGGCGTTGTCATAAAGCCAACTGTAAAATGACGGTGATAAAGACTTGAGCACTTCATGCCATAAAGTTGAAGTAGTTTTCAAATTACTTCTCGGTCAACGCTGTTTGTCGAAGGCCTTTTCGAATTCGACGAAGTTGAGGTACAGGTTTGACTGCCATTCTATGCTTTGTTATGTGATGACGATGCGTAGAGTTGCAATTCGATCAGCACATGATTTGCCTTTCCTGAATCCAGCCAGCTTGTTTTGGTGGGTGGCGGAGTTCTGTATCCAGTGGACCCTTTATTCTCTCCAGGATAGACAAGAGCATGATTCTACGCCAGTTCTTGCATAGGCCTAAGTCACCCTTCTTTGGTAGCTTGAAGACGTAGACAGTCCTTCTTCCAATCGGTAGGCACCTTTCCTTCCTTCCAAACCTTTTGCACTAATGGCGTGAGATCATCTGCCAAAGTCTCTGGGTTTGTTTTCAGTGCTTCGGGGAGGGGATGCCATCTGGTCCTGCTGGCTTCCTGGACTTCAGTAGCTTGATCGTACTCAAGATTTTTGCTTTCGTTGGAGCATTGGTGTTCATTGGCAGGCAGTTTTGTGCTGTTGGTTTATTTCCGGCCAAGTTGCAGGTGATGGTCGATTCAGTAGTCCTTTGAAGTGATCAGCCCATTGTTAATCAGGTTCCCTTGACCATTTTCTATAGGTTTCATCTCCATTGATTTTCTCTCCAGCAGAGTTGTGGTTGTCTGATATGATATCCTGAGGTCTCCTTCACCTTCAGCCTGCATGTTCTGCTTCAGTTGCCGGGCAGTGTGTCGTAGCATTGTCTTTTGTCTATCCTAGAACTCTATTTTATTAATACTATGTTGTGCAATTTCCGTATGACATTTAGTATCATCATTGGCTCACCTGATCTTCTATTTACTCCTTTCACCTATTACTTAATTTTTTGATACTTGTTTCCAAGCTGTTTCACTACCCCACTCTGCCTAGTTACAGTTTAGATTATTCATCAAATTTTTGAAATATTCTGATGATCTAAGCAATAACCAAAATTTATTTTTATTCTAGCGTTGACTTGCAGGGATTGGATCGGTTACACGATTTCATCATGAGCGGATATCGGTTAGTTCGAGAACCACTGGGAAACCATGGAGTACTGCACAGCTGCCCTATCCTAGTTTCGAACTTCTCTGAAGTACGCACCCACAGAGGTTGGAACTCAGGAGCTTCCAGTTACAAGGCAAGCTCGTAGACCATTAAGCCGCTGAGACCTAATCCATTGGCTAATAAATTCCAACCTCTGCCATTTCACGATATCGCGCGACTGGTACTAGCCAATTTCACCGCTGGCTAGTATTTGTCCTCACACCCGAACTCCTGTACACCACTGATCACGACTTCCCACTAGAACCCCCCCCCACGTAACTAACTACCTGAACAGGGCAAGACATTAACGAGCCTCTCATTGATATTCAAGTATTGGTTTGTGGGGATTTGATTGATTGGTTAAAGGATTTCATCATGAGCTGACATTAGTTAGAGAACCATTAGAAAACCTGGGAGTACTGGACAGCTGTTCGGTCTAGTAACCAGAAGGTCTTTAATTTGAAACCCTATGAGTGCGTACTGCTGAAGAGTCCGAAAATAATCTGTCAAAACAGATGCCCAGTACCTCCAGGTTTTCCAATGGTTCTCCAGTAGATATCAGCTCATGATAAAATCCTGAAACCAATCAAATACCTTATTATTATTATGGTTCCCTTGGGTTCCTAGTGGAACATAAGGCTTCAGCTACACGTCTCCACTTGCTTCTGTCTTCTGCTGTACTTTTCACCTGCGTCCATGTTAGTCCATACTGTTTCAACTCTTCTTCACACGATCTCCTCCATGTCACCCTTGCACCGACGAACCAATCGCCACTTCCCTTTCGGGTTCCTTTCGAGCGTTGGCCTGACGTGCGATGTCACCCAGCGGCCTCCTCAGCTCAGCGAGTGAGTGTCCAATCCATCTCCACTTTCTCCTGCATATTGTTTGTTGGCGATTGGTTCTTGTTCTGTTTGTCCCTATAGTTTCTTGTTGGTGATTCTTTCCGGCCACCTGATCTTCAGTATAGAGCCAGTGAAGACAGTTGTTGATAAAGGTCTGCAACAGGCTGTTGGAAATACTTATTGTTTATGACCTGCCAAGTTTCTGATCCATCCGTATAGAAGAACTGACTGACTTGACGTTTGTATTGAAAATCCGAATCATTTTGTTGTTGATGCAGGCTGAGTGACGAAGATTTCCAGATTGGTTTCAGGTTGATGAATGTATTTCTCGCCTTTCTGACTCTCGATTTGACATCCTCGTCCGTTCCTCGTGTAGTTGAGACAATGCTCCCTAGATAAGTGAATGAAGTAACCTCTTTCAAATCCCTCCCGTTGATGGTGATTGGCGGTGGATGTTGCTGCTGCTGTTGTTGTTGGTTGGTTATTTTCATAATCTGCGTCTTGTCTATGTTCACCTGGAGAATCAAATACCTACAAACCAAATATTTCCATGTTGCTTTGTAATCCACCCACCCACCAACCCACATACACAGAAAACACAAACATCATCTGTAATCAAAGGACAATAAAATAAAATAAATAAATTCCAATTAACTACCATAAATTTGTTCAACATTCCTATGACTACTCAACAATTCCTTACTTAAATTGGCAACAGTTTTAATAATTAAAAAAACGAAACAAAAATAAAATAAATAGATTGAGAAAATAGAATAATATTATTACTAATAATAATATTAAAAAATAAATAAATAAAACTATACCCATTCTTTCAATTATTATATTTATTTCATTGAAATAATATTAATAATAATGATAATGATAGCAATACACTTCTGTCTTGACTGCTTTTCTCGCACGGGTGGCAAACAGGGGAGAAAACTGAATGTTAAGCAAAATAATCTCTATATATACACACAAAAGCAGACACAACATCACTCCCATTGAACGAAACAAACAAAAAAAGCGGGAATAATCTGTAAACTGATGAGACTGAAGAAAATAATAATATAATAATAATAGTAAAAGGAAATACAGTACAATGTGCATGTTGTATAGCACACAATCTTCACTTTTAAGGTGAGCTCAAAATTAATTGTGAAAAAAGAAACTATGAGTAGATCATTTCTGAATGGAATGACCTTGATTAAACAGGCAAAAACAAAATATTACAGCAAAAAGTGAATAAAAGCTTTCATGCTGCCATTTATTATTTCATTTAAAAAAAAATAACAACACATTATAGAACCCTATCCATTAGGCATGTGCTATACTTTGGATTGCATTTTGTGAATTTTCATCTAATCTTCTCTCTCTCTCTAATTAAATATTCTTTTTTCAAAAACAAACTATAAATTGTTAGGTTGAATAACTATCAAATTAGGCATATTTTTGTAATAATTCTACAACATCAGGATAATTGCGTAATTTCGCTTCGTCTATTGCACTTGTACCCCATAGGGTTCGACAATGTGGACTGATACCAGCACCGTCTACTTCTAATTCTGTTATTGTATCACTAGCGTTTGTCTGTTTCTGTTGTAGTCTTTTCTGTTGCTGCTGTTGTACTACTTGTTGTTGTTGTTTTCTTGGAGTGAGAAGAAATTTGATTGTATCTAGTTGATGATGTGCAACAGCCACATGCAATGCTGAACGGCCTTCATCATCTATATTCTATAGAATAATAAAAGAAAACAAAAATCAAAAGACAATACGACTAACAAACAAGGATGGGTTTGCTTTGGGTTCCACCCCCCTCCCAACCAGGTCTTTTATCAGCTGACATTTTCCTAACTAAATTAGAAAATGCTCCTCTAAGAGAGATGTTAAACAAACTTGAATATTATTGCCGTTATGTAGACGATACATTCATCGTTTGTGACAATAATTTGGATAAACAAAGTCTGATACAAGTCATTGATAATGTCCACCCGGTAATTAAGTTCACTTGCCAAGAAGAATTATCAAGGAAGCATTTCCTTTTTTGGATGTCCTTCTTACCAAAAGGCCAGACGGCAAGTTAAAGCGAAATATCTACAGAAAAGCGATATGGAACGGACAATATATCCATCTGCATAGTTTCGTACCTGTACAATATAAGCGGAATTCGATTCGTTCTCTTAGTCATAGAATTTGGCGCATATGTACCGAGAATTGCATTAAAGATGAAATCGAAAATCTTAAAAATAACCTGCTACAAAAGGGTTATCCTAGCAATTGTGTAAAGAAGTATGTCTCCAGAAGAACTGATAAAATTAGGCGTGACATGGTGAATAAGAAAAAGCTTTATTTATGAGTATAGCTCAAAGGTGATATATACAGTGACATATTAAGCCGTAGGTTGATCAAATCAGTTGAAAGCACTTTCATTGTTGCAGAACTACACATCAGTTTCTCAACCAGACCGCTACTGAAACAGGGCATCAAAGATGGCCACATCAGTGTGTGTATATCAATCCAACTCCTCATTTGGAGCTAGTTGTGTTATATAGGTCGAACTCAGAGGAATTTATCTTTACGTGCACGTGAACGTACTCCTGTTTGGCTCGGAAAAAGTGTAAACAAATCAATAAATGGTGCCACTTTGTCTCATCTAGTGGAAAGTGAACACCACATCAAAACAGATTAGTCATTTAAGGTTGCATATCCAGTACCAAACAATCTGCCTAAAGGTACACGATTACGTCTCTTAGCTGTAGCAGAAGAAATAGAGATTAATAAGAGTAAACTTGATCCATATGTGCACAAGAAGTACATCCATCCTTTCTTTAACCTGGCCTACTATAAGGTCAGCAGGGAAATTATCATCCACATTTTCATGTGATATTATGCCTTCCTTATTCCTTTTCACCTAGTTCACTTCACTCCATTATTATCATTCTTAGTATGTGACAACCTGTAATGTACACTAAGCTAATTATCTCTCTAGTATTTTATTACAGCACACAATTTAACCTCCTTATTTTATCACTACACTTGATATCTGTTAGCCTTGCTTGAACCTACATTCAGTGTTCCCCCATTTTTCGGTATTTGTTTGCATTTATTTTGTGGTAATCATTTTCCTCGCTTGCCAATGAATATGACTCACTCTCCCACCTCACCTCAACCCATAATGAAACTAGTATTCTGTTGACTATAAATACATTAGTATGTCACCCATTTGTCTATTTACACTCTGTCTTATGTTGGCAACTCTAAAGAATAGCAGCCCAAACCGAAACTACCTAGCGAACGGACAAATGACCTTGACAAGGACAACTTCGACCAATTAGAAGGCTCAAAAATGGCGCATAATGGTAATAAATCGTTTACATAAAAGTAATGCAATGTTAAAAAATAGTTATAAAGGACAACGTTCTCCTATACTTTGCAAAAAACCTGCCAATTTCTCATAAGAGTCTTGATACTCATGTTAAACTAAGTCCTGGAAATAAACTCATCAAGATAACTGTATATCATTGCATTTCTTGATCCATTCACAGATCTGATACGTTCTTTAGGTGACTCCAGAAACTTTCGATGGAATTAGTGTGAGTTCCATCAAAAGGATTGAGAAAACCATTTTTATGGTTGACCACTTGATGAATACAGCCCAGATTCGATAACTGACTGTAACTACTCCATTCATCTGTATGAATAGTCGTCCCAGGCAGCAATAAGCGCTGGATAATAGGCAATAATACACCTGCACTGCGATTAGGGATCGCCTCAATATATCCTTTCTGGAGGTTGGTGTCATATATCCCCAATACCTATTTCTGATTCACACTCAATCTCCCTCGATTATATTTTCTTTTTATCAAAAGTACCTAAGGAATCTGTAAATTAAAAACGAACGACATACGTTCTTGAACTGATTTTCTGGTTCGGCACTCATTGCATCAACAAACAAACACATCGATGCACCTAGTGTATCTTTGCAGATGAATGACACCTCCACATTGGCAATTTTTCGACATTCCTATCAATCCGTTCTCCAAACAGTAATCAAAAACAAGATCTGGAGCAAATTTGCAACGCAAAAGGTATAAAGCACCCATAAATACGTCTGGAAAATACGGAGCCACCTGATTGGTTGCTCAAGGTCATTTATCCGTTCGCTAGGTAGTTTCGGTTTGGGCTGCTCTTCTTTAGAGTTGCCCTTATGTTTTGAATGACTACACATTTTATAGGCATTCATTTGACAATAGTGCATAACGTACTATCATTCAATATTATAGATGCACCCCAACAATACAGTTTCTGATATAATTTTCGCGTGCCTTTAATAGCTTTTTGTAGTTTAATAATCATGGATTTATAAGTGTGGAGCCTGAGGAAGAATTTATCGAAACCGCACTTGTTCTCTCAAGATGCCATTATTGATGTGTAATCAGGTGTATTTGTGTATTCACTGAGCTATTTGGTTTAATCGCTCTTACTTAACCTTGAAACTTCGTCATTGATGAATTTTTCTAACGATCTACTACAGTTTGCTTACAAACATGATAGATATACTTTAGATGCCATGTTGTTATTCTTACACGATAATTTTGACTCCAATTAAGATAGAGTTGCTAAATATGTTCAGTGTAACATCCTAGATTACAAATCTGCCTTTGACTCTGTATCTATGCCTTTTTTCGGTGGCCTGCCTATAACTTGGTCTACTGAAATCAACCTCCATCAATGTATTGCATATAGTTTCTCTTATTAAATTTGTTTAAATCTAATAAAATATGACCTCTAATAGTATTGGTTACTCCGGCGGGTATTTAAAACATTTACAGACTGCTGGTTTGCAAGTTTCTATTAAACATGTGAAAAAGCGTTTTCCTCTGCGGTGGCTTATCCCAATACATGAGATGATAGTTCCTGAGTAGTGTTCTTGGTTCGCAAGATGTGTTCGTGAACTTTCTATAATTAGCATTCAACAAATTGACGTGTGTTTCTCGAAGGAGATAAAGAAGAGATATCATAATGGATTGGTTTGAGTTTTAGGTCAGATAGCACTGTGTCACACGGTCTACTGTCAAACGACCTTTTATTTGAAGATTCTGGACGAAGAGAAAACATCATGCAATGAAATTCGGTGAAAATCCTGTACATTATATAAGCACTATTGAGAATAAAGCTATTATTATTGGTTAAACAAGCTTACTGTGACAAAAAAGGGTATTACTATTGCCTTGGGTACCTAGTGGAACGTAGGTCTTCAATAACACATCTCCACTTTGTTCTATTTGGTACTGTCCTCTTCAGCTGGTTCACCTAGTTTACTAGCTCGCTAGTTTTCTAACTGGTCCCAAGCGAGGGTAAAGAGGGAGGGTTGGGCGTGGGGCTAGCGACCCTACACCACAAAACCAATCAAATTGTTACAGAAACACGGTGGTGGATGAATAAGTGGTTTAATTCTTATTATCCTGATAGGAAGTAGTACACTGTGTGTGAGAGAAGGTCTTTCTTTTACTATACTCACTGAAGCCAGTGTCCCTCAATGTGCTGTTCTTTCTCCTTTCCTGTCTTCTTTCTTCTTACATGACTCGCCTCAATATGATGAAGTCAAATTTTTTAAGTGTGACGATGATCTGATTGCCTTCATGTCTATCACATCTAAATCAGATTTCATTCCAAAATGAATAGCTTATTGTCATCAATTAGTCACTAGTCCTGGTCTAATCTTCTCACGTTAAATCTCTGCAAGTGTCAGATTGTTAATTTCACTTTGAGACACAAGCATGATTTACACAAACTGGTTTGTTTCTATGACTCTTTTTTATCACAGTAGGCAGTAAAGTTAAAACTAAATCGAATGTTAAACACCCTTATTTATGTCTTTTGTGTTTGATTTCTGCTGTTCTTCCATATCATGTTAGTTTGGAGAAGTGAAGTCAATTTCATTTCCCTCCTTTTTTTCTTTCTCTCGACAGAAGAGATATTACACCTGTGAAACATTGTAAGCCATTGGTTGCAGAAGCAGATTTTATTTTATTTTTTTTTCAAATCCAGATTTAGTTTATTATGTGAACATAATAACCTCAGTATACAACCTCTTCCCTTCATTGTATAACCTTTAGCCAGTTGCAGCCATTGGGAATAATTTATTTACCACTCACCTATCCAAACTTAATGTGTGTTGAAGAGTATAAATGTGAGGATTTCGCGGATGATTTATGTTTGATGTCACACAAAATCGAAGACTTACAAGCGAAAACCGACAAACTGGTCGAAGAAGCAGCAAAGACAGGACTCCAGGTGAACATAGACAAGACGAAGGTTATGAAAATAACCAACCAACAACAACAACAACAGCATCAGCAACATCCAGCGCCAATCACCATCAACGGGAGGGATTTGAAAGAGGTTACTTCATTCACTTATCTAGGGAGCATTGTCTCAACTACACGAGGAACGGACGAGGATGTCAAATCGAGCGAGAATCGGGAAGGCGAGAAACACATTCATCAACCTGAAACCAATCTGGAAATCTTCGTCACTCAGCATCCACAACAACAAAATTCGGATTTTCAATACAAACGTCAAGTCAGTCAGTTCTTCTATACGGATCAGAAACTTGGCCAGTGTGTCACAAAGAATATTTCCAACAGCCTGTTGCAGACCTTTATCAACAACTGTCTTCGCTGCTCTATACTGAAGATCAGATGGCCGGAAAGAATCACCAACAAGAAACT